AGAGGGCAAGAAGAACGCCAAGAAGCGCCACTCCTTCACCGCCCTCAGCATGACGCACAAGTCCTCCCAGGCCGCCAGCAACCGGCACTCCATGGAGATCAGTGCCCCCGTCCTCATCAGCTCCAGCGACCCGCGGGCGGCCGCCAGGATCGGAGAGCTGACCCACCTCTCCTCCAGCGCCCCGGCCCAGGTAAAGGAGGGGTGGGGGTGACTTTGGGGCGCCCTTGGTGGACGGCGCACAGCCCGGAAGGCCTGGCTCGATGTTGCCTCGCCTCCTTCAAAATGGCCGACCCTTGCACAAAGCAGTTGCATGGCGCTGTCATCCCGATGTGATGGTACTTGGCATCTGTCATTCCCACCCTTGCGTTAATGAGCGGGCAGGTGTGAGGAGGCAAATTTGATTCGCCATAATGGAACACGTTTAAAAATAAGTAATCCTCCAATTTTTTGAAGGGTGAAGTAATGCAGCTTATGTTGCATCACTTTCTGTCCTAGGAAAGAATAATTCTGAGTGATCCTGTTACCCTGAGTGTATTTGCTACCCTGCAGGGTAGCAATGTCAGTATGAAATTCATCAGGGATAAAAAAGATTTCTGGAGTAATTATTTTCCTACAGATCACTGTAGAATAAGCAAATGTGCCATACTTTGACAAGTGTTCTACCTGGCAAGTAGCTGCTGTTCAGAAACACCCAAGGAGGTTTTAATCCATCAGACATAATGAGGGTGCAGCCCCTTGTCCTTCCCCATCTCAAAGGAGCGGGGGGAGGCTCAGCCTCTTGGACATATCTGCAGGTCCCCCCAAAGTGCTTCTAGGGGTCTGGCAGAACAGAAACAGGAGCCAAGCTCACCAGCGATGCACTGAAAGTCCTTGTAAATGCCCGCTGTTTCTGTGGATAAGGGAATCCAAATGGAAATTTGCAGTTTGAAGGCATAGAAGAGAATGGAGAATAGTAATAGTCCCAAACCTCTTCTGCCTTGGCCTTCCTGCTTAGTCATCTACACACTTGCTGTTAGCAGCCATGGATTCCCTCTACAGACCGGCTCCTCATGGTCTGCGGTGCTTGCTAGCACTGAGATAACCTAAGCATGGCAGGGTCTTCCCACCCATCGTTTCTCTGCTGAAAAAATCCACCCTTGCCCTTTTCCTCTCCCTGGCCATGCCTTTCTGCCCCTCACACCCATGTCACCATACTGGGACAAACATGGATGACTTCCCACCCCTGCGGTGGCTTGGAGCAGGAAGCGATCCATGCAGCTGCTGCCTGCACTCATATGCATGTAGACGGCTGGGAAAGGGCAGTGTGGGAAGGAGGGCAAGCAGCAAACTGCAAGGACTGCCTTGGGCAGGAAT